TTCAAACACACCAATTCCAGCTTTACCTCCCTGCAGTACAAGTTGTTTGATGCCAAGAGGATACTCGGCAGGTGAAGTATCAAAATGGACCTTTTTCTGGGCCTGATGAAGCACAAGCCTAACTGATGACAGCTGCTCTGACACTGACACAGAGGCTACAGAGTATTGGATCAAATCTCATCCACACGCCTCCCTAGCGAGCACAGCCTGGCACAGGAGGGACCAGGCCTGGGCACTGTGCAGGAGCATTTACTCAGGGCAGGAGGACCTCAACTGCCTCTTGAAACAGGAGCAGCATCGGGGCTGATCTCCAGTTCCCTTTCCCTCTTCTGGGATTAGGTTTCTACTATCTGCATTTTTGCTGATGTCTGTGTTGCAGCTAATGGCCAGCTCTGGATCCATTAGGTTCACCAAGTCCTGGTCTCCGGATATGCTCTGGGCATCAATACCTGTTCACCCCTGCCATTTCCTGATGCTTTTACTACCGTGGTCTTGCGGCAGACAGTAGTTCCTGAGGTCAGAGCCAAATAGGGTCAGCAGCCACGAGCTCCGGCTTTTATCCAAGTCAGCAGGCCCTCCACCAACTCCAGCCCCATCATCAGCACAGCTGGAACACCCAGCAGGCATCATGCCCATACAGCAAGGGGTGGGAATTTCATCTTGTGGAGTACTGACACCCCAAGTTTCCAGCTGGCAGTGCCCATGTGTAGGGACTAACAAAAGATTCCACCCTCACGCCCCAAATCTCCTTTTTCCCTTGAAATGCTCTTGAACAACCTGCACCGGGAGCTGCTCGCTGGTGGGATAGGGGAGACCATATCCCAACACATCTAGCCAAACCTACCCCACCATTGTCACCAGCAGAGCTGGGTAGGTGTTTTCAGCTTAATAGTTATTGATTGAAAACTGCAGTTTCCAGACAGCTCAGACCTATTTCCTCTTTCAATACAAGTTTTGGACACAAACAAAATGCTTTGTTTTCCAAGCAAAAAGTCTCATTTTGCATTGTTTTGTTTGTAATTGAGCTGCATTACATTTAAAAGAAAATATAAAGGGTCTCTCAAATTCATCTGTGCTGAGGTTTTTTTCCATCCAGCTTTTCATTTTGGGCACTAAATCAAGCAGTTAATTATTTGTTCAGCTCTGCTCTCCAAAAGATCATCATGAGCCAAAGGGCCAGAGCAGCTCTGCCCAAGCTACAGTGCTGAGGAGGTGTTGATGTTTTTTGTGCTGTAGGCTCCTTTCAGGCCTTAGCTCGAGCTCCCTCGGGACTTGCAGGCGGGGAGGAGGAGAGCAGGGTCATGTAAGAGGAGTGGCAGGTGCCCCACTGAAAGGGCATCCACCTGCTCCACTGCACGGTGCTTCAGGACACATAAGGTCACTACCCCTGCTTGAAAGACATGCTAGAAGTAGGGCTTCCCATGCCAACTGCCCTCCACAGTGCAAACACAGAGTCATAGACTGTCTTGAGCTGGAAGGGTCTCACAAGAATTATCAAGTCCAACTCCTGGCTGCACAAAACAACCCCAAAAACCACACCACGCAACAGACCATTGTCCAAACACTTCTTGGACTTAGCCAGACTTGGTGCTGTGACCACCTCCCTAAGGAGCCTGTTCCAGTGCTAAACCACTCTCCAGCTGAAGAACTTTTTCCTAATATCCAACCTAATCCTCTGCTCACACAGCTTCATTGCACCACGGTCCCTCACTAGTCCTGTTGATTATTGGGACTAGAGCGACTGTTCCAAATGCCATCTCTTGCAATGCCAAACTGTAGTCTGGCACACATGAGACACCTGACAAGGAAAGGCAATCTCTTCACTTCCTCTGCATGAAAAGCAGCTGTGCCACAGGGGAGGATGCTGCTCACAGAGAGCCAGAGCTCATGGATGCAGCCTGGTGCCTTTTCCACCAGATACTGGCCCAAACTGGGAACTATGCTTAAGAAGCCTATCTTCCTTGCCCAGAGCTATTCCTGGCACCAGTGCCCTCAGAGCCCAAGCAAGGCTAAAAGCAGAACTCATCCACACAGGAATGGAACAACTGCACTATAAATAGCAAACCAGGATGGCTTAGGACAGGTTCTAAAAAACCCAAGCAGCAAAACTGCCATCCACCCAGGATGCCTTGGGCACTTTGTAAGACCTGAAGAGATTCCTGAGCTGCAGAGAGGCTTATACATTGCAACAGTGTGGAGAGAAAGCTGCTGTCCAGCCTAAGACAGCAAACTTATCTACAAAAAAAGCTCAGGGAGCATTTTGCATTTTGGAAATGAAGTAGTGACTGATGGGGGCAAAAAAAAGGACAGGAAGTGGATCCCAGAGGGGAAGCAGTTTCCAAAGCCAGGCAGCAGAAAGAAGAACACTCCTAAGACCCAAACTCCTTACTAACCATTCCCAGCACTCCTCCCCTCCTGCTTCCCTTTGTGTTCCCATCCCTGGGGTTTCTCGCACTGCTGAACTAAAGCCTGAACTTGCACACCAAAGGACAAAGGCAAGGAAGAAACAGCATACCTCAACTCAAGCAGCAGATGAGTGACTCAGGACAAAAGCTCATGTCTCCTGCAATCCACAGCCATCTCTGTGCAGTGCCCAGCCTGCACCAGGAGTCAGACAGAGGCATAAGAGCTCAGCCCATCCTGTGACCATCAGGGTCAAGTTTCCCTCCTACTTCTGGGAAGAGTCTTATCCTTTCCACCATACTTGTCCTCACTACTCCCTCTTCCCTGCTGGTGGCTCCATCCGGGTTCACAAATATTCCACCTTCCCCTTCTCACTGACAGCATATGTCCTACCAAGGGATCTCAGCCTCCACAGATGAGGATATGACCAGCCTCATGCAGTACTGCCAGGCACCAGCCTCCCACTCTCAGCAGGGAGCCTTGCTCTTTCAGCAATGCTGCAGCATGGCTCACTTGGGCATACACTGGGAATAAGAGCACAGGGAAGCCTGCTGGGAAATCGGGAGAGGGGTGTATGCACAGGGAAAGCACAGACCCGAATCAGATCATCCAGTATGTAATCACAAATGCATGCAGGGAAGCAGTTGCTTCCTCTGACAGAAAGGTTATTTTTGTTAGAACAGGAAGACAGCTCTCAAAAAAATCAAAACAAAACCACCAAATCCCTGCTTTATTGCTCCTAGAGCACCAAAACCAGACAGAGCATAAGAAGCAAAGACATCCAGTGCTGACTACAAACCCACCTTGAGAATTTTGGAAGCCCACAGGTCACTTTGCTTCCCCCCCATGACTCTCCTCTCACCCCTTGCCCTTCCTCCTCTGCACAGCAAGCAAGAGGAGTGGTAGAGGTCTTGAGTTTAGCCAAGTTTCCACTCAGAGAACAGAAGCTTGATAACAGACTGGACAGGATGTGAGCACCCATTGAGGAAAAGGATTAGTAACCCCCTAATCTGCACATTTTGGAGTCTAAGCACTTTACTCTGCTCTTTAATTAAACCCTGGAGTGCAAAGATTGCCAGAGGGTGGAGAACATGGAGAAAGAAGGAAAGGAAACAGGCAGTGGCTTAAAGGTTGTTCCTTGTGGCTTAAATGCAAGGAGGGGGGCATCACTGGTAGGGATGTATTTTACCTTAAGTGCTTTATACCAGAGCTGTTGAGCATCCTGTTGCCTTCCCTGATCCAATCTATGGGAGAGTTGAGGGCAGGATAAAGGGGAAACTGTGCAACAGCCTGGGGATGACAAAGGAAGGAACAGGGGGATCCATCAGACTCCACAAAGCTTTACCTGTGGCAGCTTTGCCTGGCTGGCCACCACTCCCTCCTGAGTTCCCTGCCTCCTGGGAAACAATACGAGCGCCAGAGCACTTCTGTCTCCACTTCACAGACCTGTCTACACAAAAGGGCCTTGTTCCAGCACTTATCTGGCTCCAAGGTGGGGAGGGGCCGGTGTCTCACTGCCCTGGCACCCAGGCAGCACGTTCAGCTCCATGCTGGGCTCCCTTGAATCTGCCTGGCAGGGGAAAATTTCCTGAGACAGGTAAAGAGGGAAACCTTTTACCACAGTCCACGACAAACAAAACAGTTCAAATAATGGCTGGTTTCCCTCAAGCTGTGCTCAGGCCCACTGTGCCCACGCCAAAGGCAGGCAGCATGCCTGAGTCTCCAGAAACCACCTGAGCAGTGAGGACAGGAGCCCCATAGCACGGCACAGGGAGAAAGGCAGCTGGTGCTGTAGCTGGAAACGGGAGTGCCAGGGATCAGCCTCACCGCTCAGAATGCTGTGCCTCCAGCTCTGCTCCCACCAAACAAAGGCAGGGGGGTGCATGTGTGCAGGGACAGCCTGTCACTCCTACGTCCCTCTCTTCCCTCATTCCTATTCTTTGGAATTCCTCTCTTCTGTTTGCTTTGTTTCAGACCTCAATGAACAGGAAGAAAAGCGAAGGAGCCTTGACAAATCCGATCAAGGCACAGACATGCTGAGGCTCCCTCCTGCTGGCATGCCAAGCCCTGCACTAATGAGGGGCAGGGGAGAGAGAGATGGTCACTGAAAACAGTGGCCCCACAGAAACACTTAAGGTAAAGGACAGAGGGAAAAGAAGCTGCTAGGACAGAACAACGACAGCACAAGCTCCCAGCCTTCAGAATGGAGGTCTTCCCATTTTTCCTGGCCCAGGGAGCTTGTTCGAGCTCCTCAGTCCAGGTCCCAATGACCTACTACCCATTACACTAGAAACAAGCAGTAGAACATAGTAGTGCCTGGGGAGAAGGATCCAGACATGCACACTCAAGTGAAGAGCCATAGAGATGGGATCACACTTTATTCGAAGGATTCATGTGGCAAAGCTGGTCCTTCCCTCCAGAGAACTGGGCTAGAGGGGCTTACAAGTGCCAGTGCTTTTGTCTCCAGGGCCTCCCCATCAGTCCCAAATACCCCCAGACTCAGGCCATGCACTTATCCTGTTTATCCATTTAGAAGCACTAAAACAGCAAGGGAGCACCACATGTAAATGATCTACTTAACACATACGGTAACTGACCTTTGAAAGCTGCCAATGTTGCAGGAGTAGCTGGGAACAGCTGGAGAAGTTGGCAGGGCCTGGTGGTGGCTGTGAGGACTCCCTTTAACCAAGGATTCGCAGTTTGAAGGGCAGATAAGACATCTCAGCTGTACTTCAGGGTTTTGGAGCTTGCTGTCACCTGAAACCCAAAAGACAGTCACGTGAAGAGCCACTGCATAAGAGAGCTCTGGGGACAGGTCCCTGCACAGCCAAGAGTGTCACAGATCAATGGCACCGAACACCTCGGTCCTGTCCCCTTCATCCAGCCTGTAACAAAGCACAGCTCAGTGTCACCCAAGGCTACCTAAGCAGCCCACGAGTGAACGACTATTTGAGCACTGCATGTTCCTAGCTGCAGATCACTGCACTGTCCCATAGCACGTTCCCCACCCACACAAGGAGGACTGTGCACGTGTCCCCAGAACTGCTGGCAAAGGCACAGCCACTGTATTTCATCGCAACACACGAGTCTTCACACCAGCTCTCCAGCAGGATGAGGAGCTGGGGGAGGGATCCAAGTTCCCTGGCCCCCTCCCAAACACGATAGCAGCAGTGAGTGTCTAACTTGTGAGGCAATGAAGGGATTAACTATCACATCCAGTAATCTGAGCCCCTGTGACATACCCCATAATGGGAGTTAAGAAAGTCTATCTAGATAAATGCACACAGGGAGTGAAGAGGGGTAAAGGCAGAAGAGAGAGAAACCAGGCAAAAACCCACCACACAACTTGCAGTGCAGAAAGCAGGGAGGTCTGCACATGTTACTCCTCCTCAGGAAATCCTCCTCCTCTGCTGGGATCTTGCTCCAGCTCCCACAGAGCTGGGCACACACATTTCACAACGGCAGGCTGAAATGGATAAGCCCTTCTCCCAGGAGGTTACAAAGATTATCATCTTATTATCAGGAGAAAGCCCAAACCAGAAACACAGTCACACCAATATGCCAGGGCAAAGGAATTGGAGAAGAATTGAGAGTTTTGATTTAAAGCCCCTATATGCACACATCATTGCTCCAAGATGCAGCAGGAGCAGGACCTTAAAAGCAAATAAAAACCTACCAAAAGCATCTGTCTGCTCTGTCCCACCTGTTTTAAAATCCCGAACAGAGAAACAAGTGTGCAGTGTGCTGTACTATTGCACCCCTCTAGACAAAGCAAACCCTAGGCCAGCCTGGCACAGCAAAGGGAGGCAACACTGATCCCAATAAGAGCTGGAATTAAAAAATAACAACAGTTGCTACCTGAACAGTGAAATCCAGCGACTCCAGTAATGAAGTACAGCACCACACTGCTCAGCAAAACCCTCCTTCAGCAACAAAGCCTGACACTATTTTTGCTTTGCGAAGTCTTCCTCAGATTCTGGCTACAAGGTGGTAGCCAGTGAGAGGACACGTACAGATCTTATGCACATGTCAGTAAACAGACATCCATCTCCTCCATCATCCCCACTCTGCTTGTCCTGATCTGTCAGCTCCTGCCTCAGACCAGGTCTAAGAGTGGAACCTCAAAGATGGATACTTCTGGAGCAGAGGGAACGGGATATGAACCAGGATGCCAAACCCTCCTGGCACACATCCCTTTTGCAGGCAAAATGCTGTCCCTTGTGCTACCAGGGGTTTGCATTTCCAGGGAGCAGTTCAGCAGGTGAGACAAGTCCCCGGTAGCCACATGGGACAGGAAGCAGAAGCTGCCTGCAACAGCAATAGCAAAGAGCTGGAAAAGCAAAAGCCCCTTCAGCAGAGCTAATACTGAATGGGAGTGCCAGGCACATGCCTGCCACATACAGCAGTGCTGCCCACTGGGATCCACCACAGCATGACCACCAGCACCATTGGGACAGCAGAGCTCCTGTTCTCACGTGGCAGGAGCCTCACCTCCAGGGTAGAGCCAATGTCACACAGCTGCAACCCAGCCACCAGCAGTTATTTATACAAAACTGTGCACAGGACCTGCAAGACCTGCAGAGTGGGGGGACTGATCTCCAGGTCTGCCGCCTTCTCCAGGTGGGGTCAGGGGAGCTAGGGTGAAGCTGGGGGAAAGGCAGGTCAGAAACCACAGTCAGTTGCCCCCCACCCTCCCAAAAGCAGTTGCAGTGTCCTTTCCCTCAGGGCCCAGCTGTATCTCTCCCTTGGAGTGTTTCCATCAACTGAGGCCACCAGAGAACTGCGTGTCCAAAAGTTTTTTCCAACTGCATCACATGGTTATTAAAAGACATGGCCTCTCCCTCTCAGCCTTTGGCACAGGCAGATTTGAGTATTACAGGAGAGACTGCACACTGCTAATGAATCAGGGAAGAGAGCTATCGAAGTAACAATCCAGGGCTCTAAATGGCTTTCTGGAAAAGGCATCTGGAGGCAAGAGGCAGTCACTATCTCGCAGCAGGGCTCTGCACACATTGCCAGACATGTTGTTCCTCCTGGGAAGCCAAAAAGTCTCTCCAGAGATGCCAAGTCTGAGCTAAGCTGGGAAGGGCAGGAGAACCCTTGACAAAGATCAGCAACAAAATGCCTTCAAATCAAAACACACATAAAAGGTCCTTAAGCTTGTTTGACCTGGGTTTCCCTTCCCCTTAGACTACCACTTCAAGTAATAGACCTGTCAGCAACAGTTCAGGAACTCAAGGACTACACCATCCACATCCCCTGCCAGCTGCTGCCTTTCCAGACCCCAGGAGGGCTGTCTGAGATCAGAGGTACAAGCTGCTCAGAGACTAGTTTGCTTCATTGCCTTTGTCTCCTCATTTGGACAGAGCTTTGGAGCTCTCCTGAAAGGTGTTGGCCTCCAGTGGGATACTGTGAGTGAATCAGGCCTTCCATTCTAGGCGGGGCTCATGTGACAGGGACTAAAATACTCCCTGACACGTCTCGGTCTCCAGGTTATTTGGAGCAAGTCATGATTTATCCCTAGCTATCCCAAAGTATGGGCTGAGCTCATCCAGAAGCAAAGAGAATACATGGTCAGATCATGGTGTGGGAGCTGAGAAGGGCAGGAAGGGATACCCCAAGGAGACAAGGCCAGGAAGGACATCTCAAGCACTAGGACTGCTCCCTTCCAACCACTGTCAGAAAGATCCACATACCTGACCTCATACTGCCAGGCTCCTTCCCTCCTGACAGTGGAAGGACAGAAGGAAGACATGGCTGGGGACAATATCCTCTTCCCACCCCAACTACTAATCTCCCAAGACAAAGCCAAGCATCATTACACTGAGTCTATTCTCCCACATCCTGCTTGCCAGCTCTAACACTGTCAGGTGCTGCATGAAAACATCCTCACCCATCCCAGCACCCTGAAGACATGTTTTGAGCAAGGCTTACTTAAGATGAACTGCCTTAGACCCATGGCAGTGCTTTGCCTGGAGTCCGGCTTCCCAGAAATGGTGTGGTCTCGTGGATCTGAGCAAAGAGTGAGATTCTGGCAGCCAAGCAAGCTAGACTTCAGCACTGTATCCACAGATGGGCTGGCAGAACGTTGGCTTTTTTTTTGGTTTACTTCTTTTCCTACCATTAGTGCTGAGCCTGCACCCCTCATCATCAGAGCACTGGAACTATTTGGCCTCAGTTATAGCCAGTGGATTTCCAGTAAGTCCTCAGCACCCAGACTAACAGTAAGCACTAAGGAAAGAGCTGCTCAATGATCATTCCGAGCACAGTCAAGAGAGAAACTAGCTCCTCAACCCAGCCTTTCACCTCCTACCCCTCCCCCCCACACACACACCATGGGCACTGTAAGCCAAGGCAATTTAAGTCCTGCCCAGTCTCATGGGCTTGCTGCTGCTCTGAGAAGCCACCCCTCCTACAGTGCTCCCTTGCAGCATATTTACCATAAAAAGGCAGTATGATGGTATTCAAACTGTCCTCCAAAATCACTCACTGCAGGAGGGAGATGAACAAAGGGGAAATGACAGTGGGTGGGAGGTAGGGGCAAGGGGTGAAGAAGTGGCTGTCAAAATGCTTCTTGCTAAGAGACAGAATCACACTACCTATGTTGTTCAGAGTAGCCCAAGGACTTTGTGCATCAAGCTTCACCTCTGGCTGAAGACAAGGTGTCTTTGGCAGTCTCCTAGGCAGCCGGCTCTCAGATTGCTGTCTGGCAGAGCTTTAGCTTCTCCTTGAAGGACAGCAGCTGTGGCAGTCTGCACTGGATATGCCCCTAGAGTCACCAGCAGCACACACCTACCCCCAGCAAACTGCTTCAGACCTCTAGACCCAAAGGCTTTGGGTGCTATCTCACCCACCTTTGTCTTACACTAGCAGCTCAGCCACCGCGAAACGCAGAGAACCTCACAGGTAAGCACCCCATGTGAATGGAAAGTTGGGTCCAACCCATGTGATTCTAACTAAAAAGGTTTGTTTAGCGCCAGACTGCTTGCCAGCAGTATCTCATGCCCTTTTTGAACTCAGCCTGCTGGAAAACAAACCCTCGGGGGTAGAGGAGAGAGAGATCAGAAAGGATAAAGTGCCTGCCCATGCAACTGTAATTCCCGCCGAGGAAGCCGCAGGCACACACTGTGCCCATTGTGCAGAGGTAACCGGACAGGAGGAAGGAGGGGCAGCTCAGCCCAGCTCTGTGCGTGCCCAGGAGCCCTGCGAGAGGCCACGAAGCGCCTCCTGGCCCACGGGCACCGCCGCCGATCTTTGCCCCGGTCGGCGTGCGGGGCCAGGCCCGGCTGCGGGCGGCGGCCGCGGGGCGGGCAGGGCCGGCAGCCTGGGTTGAGAGGGGAGACGCTCCCAGCGGAGCGGGGGGCAGAGCCGGGGCATGGCAGGGAGGGAGGGCGAGAGGCCACGGCACTGGGCACAGGTTGGAGCCCCCTTCTGCAACAGGCTGCAGCCGGGCGGGCCCTGCGCCTCCTCCCGCCTGCGAACGGGGGTCAGAGCTGGTGCGGCAAACACTGAGTGCGGCGGGGCCGTGCGAGTCCGGCGTGGGCTCCGGGAGAGCCGCCACTGCACGGCCCGACCCCGGCCCTTCTGCTCCCTCCTTCCGTCCCCCCGGCCCCAGATGGGGATAGACGTTGCCACGTAAGGGTACAAGGATGGCAGCCCCCTTTCCCGAGGCCCCCCGACCTTTCCCAGCCTCCGGGGCAGCGCCTCCCCCTTCTCCGCACCCAGCGGGTGGGCGCGGGCCGCTCAGCCCCCGAACGGAGACGGGCTGCCCCTGCCCTGTCGGTCACACCTCACCCTTCCCTCGCCAGGTGCAGAGCGACGGCTCCCCGCTGCCGGGCAAGCAGCGACCCAGGCACGGCCGCGGGTGCCCACCGGAGCCCCGCCCCGGAGCACGCCCCGGGACAGGGACTGCTGCACGCCGCTCCCCGAAGGGTCGCGGTAGGGCAGGCACCACTCCCGGCGCCTACGCTCGCTCCCCAGCGCCACCGGGAACTTTTTACGGGTGCCGCAGCCAAGCCCCGGCAGCTCCCCCGAGCAGCCCCCCCGGCAGCCCGCACTCCGCCGCCCCGGCCCGCGGAGCGGCAGACCCACGCGTGGGCAGACCCCGTCCCCGCCGCGGCGCTCGAGGAACGTGTCCCTCCCGGGGCCCCCCTAAACCCGCTCATACCCCGGCTCCTCGCCCTGCGGCGACCGCGCTCCCTGCTCGGGACAACCCCCCACAAGCTCCCCCCGCAGCCCCAGCCCGCCGTACCTGCCCAGCCGCCGCCGCCGCTCCTTTAAACCCCCGCCCCGCCGCCCATCGCCCGCTCGGCGCTCGGCCCGGCTCGGCTGGCCGGGGCGGGGCGGGCCGCGGCAGGGGCGGTCCCGGTCCCGGAAGCGGCGCGGCGGCGGAGCCATGGCGGCGGCGGCGGCGGCGGCCCCGGTCCGTGCCCGCGGAGCCGGCCCGGCGTGGCGGCTGCGCCTGCTGTGCCAGCGCTACCAGGAGTACGTGAGGCGGCACCCGGCCGCCACGGCCCAGCTGGAGGGCACCGTGCGGGGGCTCTCCTACCTGCTGCCAGGTGCGGGAGCGGGGAGAGGGGCGGGCCCTCGTCCCTGCGGGCCGGGATCTGGACCGGGACGTGCGGACACCGGGGCGCAGCGGGGCGCGGGGCTCCCCCGGTGCCGGGCTCTCCCTGATATCCGCTCTCTTCCCTC